ACATTATCAATTTGCTGACCACCAATCGCGCGCCCCAACCTGTGACCTCAAAAACTACCCACTAATATTTTTTTTTAAATCATAGATAGAAAAATTTTGTAAAAGAATTTTCCAATAAAAGTTAGAAAGAAAATTTGTCCATAATTTTCTAATGAAATGTTATTGGAAAATTTTCCAAGCTACACTATTGTTTAATTTGTTTTGTTTTTATCCAATAAATGTGTTATATTTTTATTTGGAATAGGTATTTTCATTTGTTATTTTCGGTGTTTCGCTGTTTTGAAATGTGCAGGGTTGTCCGCAATTTTTGAGCGAGATACAAGAAAATCAACCCCCACTCTGAGGCTCAAATTTTATATCTTCAATCGTTTTGTGGCTAGAGAATCCAATGACTTTCTCAGTTTTTTTTTTAATTTTTTTCCGAATTCGAGAAATGTACCAGAGTCCGATTGTTTTGATGGGACACCGGACACCCTATACACAGGGTGTTCCTAGATATCATGTACAAACGAAAAGAGGTGATCTTTGGTTTATTTTATTTTAAAATTTCTAATAAACATAGGTCCGCAAACGCTTCGTTACCGATCTACAGGGTGTTGAAATTTTAATATTTTTTTTAGTTTTTTTTTTATAGCTCCTGCAATTTTTGAGGGATTTAGTTCAAATTTGGAATCTAGGTTACGCAATAAGAGCTGAATGATTGCACATGTCAAACGTTTGCCAGAATCTACAGGGTGATGTTTTTTCAGGGCTCATGCCTCCTTTTCTCCCTCTGAACTTTTTCGCGGAGCGCCGCTGGTCGATTCTTAGAAACGAAACAATTTGTATGCCTCATTAGGAAACTTTTTGTTATCTTGTAGTTTTTTCGTATCACCGACTCTTATTGAGAAAAAAATTAAAAAACATATCTCTATAATTAGCTAGATGAAACTAAAGTTACTGAATAAACCTACAGTGGCGACAATGGAGGTCTCGCAGCCATATTCTTGCTCATTTTCAATAGTAATCTACAGGTAAGACTCCTCGCCGCCATATTCCTGCTCATTTTCAAGGTTTAAAGTCATCAGGCCTATAGTTTATTACAGCAACGCGAGATGTCAATGCTGTCGCCCCTATAGTGTGCCCTAACTTGACTGTCAAAAAAAAATAGAAATCTGCATTTGGTTAAATTATGTGATGGAACGTTTTTTCTTTTTTTGGCGGAAATTCGAAGTATTATTCTGCTTTACATAAACAGACTTGTAGTTTCGACCAACGCAAATAATTTTGAACATTCATCCGTCGGTTTTTTTTGCTAAACAGTGTAGCTACGGGCGTATTTCCAACTATTTTTGCAGTAGCGAGAAAACTACAAGTTCAAAAAATTTGAAAGAAATATATGTCGCGTAGAATTGCAATACTAGTTCGTAATAAAAATAATGGGAAACTTCATCTATTTGTTTTGAAATAAATGCTGAAAAACTACTTTTTTTTCAGTTTTTGCGATATAACGCAAAAATGGCGAGTCAAATTTGCTTAAAAAAATTATAGATTCAAGTATATCGATAACCATAAAACATATATTTTTTTTGGAATTTTTGAACACAAGGTTCAGAGAATAGGGGTTGACTTTAAACCTTAATATGAATACATTAAAATTTCAACACCCCGTAGATAGGTAACGAAGCGTTTGCGGACCTATCTTTATCAGAAATTTTAGCCATAAAATAAACCAAAGAATCACGCGCTTCGGTTTGTACATGATATTTAGGAACAGGAACACCCTGTATATTAATAACTGATTGGATATCTCTGCTTTTGCTACTTTCAATGCTATAAAGTTCGATCGGTTTTCCAGCAAAAAATTTATATCTGTTTTTGTTATAAGAAACAATGTGTTAGAAGAGGACTTTTATATAAGGAAAATGAGATAGGTCTCCTTCTAACAAATTGTTACTTTTGATTGAAACATCTATAATTTTTGTTTCTACAAAACTGTTAGAGATAGACCTATTAAACCTTATATTTATGTATCATGTATCATTAAAATAAGCAATAATAGCAATGAGTTATTAATGTATAACTAGGGTTTTTTATTAAAAAAAAAAATAAGTAAAATTAAAATAATTGAGAACGACATTGAATTCTGCTTGGAAAAGTATCTCTATAAAGTTTATACAGAAATCAATTATTTTCATAAATAAAAAAGTTAGAGAGGTTTCACTTTATTGCTCAAAATCGAGAAACATCCTCTAGCGGCAAAACGGTTGAAGGTATCAAAAGGCGGTTTGCAGTGTTTGCACCAATCAAGATTTCATGAAATTTGAGCGTAAGCAGAGTTAATTTTTTTTGTATCTGGCTCAGAAATTGACGTTTCATATCAAAAGTGTCCAAATTGGACCACCCTGTACCTACATTCTTTAACGTATAAGTGAAGTAAAAATAAATTTTCAAGAAATCGTTGATAATTCTAAGCCTGCGCCCCCCCCCCCCCCTGAAGAAAATCCTAGATCCGCCACTGTGTTGACAAGTAAGGAGATGTACTCTTGTGGAACGTTATTGATTTGCATTTGCTTATATTGATTTTCAATAATAGGTTTGAAGAAAACCAAGACGCAAATCTGTCGAGATCTGGTAAAATAGTTATTTGATATGGATCAAATCATATCTTGGAGATCGAACCCAGCGGGTAGAAATGTGTGGCTACTCCTCGAAAAACGTCAAGGTCACTTCCGGTGTTCCCCAAGGATCACACTTGGGACCTGTTCTTTTGTTATTTATCAAGATGTTTCCTCCTGCTTCCATTCTTCGCACTTTCTGCTATATGCTGATGACCTGAAATTTTATGTTAGGTATGGAGTTTCCAGTTTCCACCCACTTTCCAGAGATACCAATTTCTGATAGTTTTTTGGTTGGATGAAGTTGAACGCTTGCTAGAGAATCCGTGTTGATCTGGTATGAAGTAAAGTCTATATGTTACGAAAATTTCCTCGGTTAAGATTGATTCTAATACTTTTGGAATGGCAGAAAGTATCGATATTACACGGTAGTTCGCAACATCGCACCTATCTTCAGACTTGAAGATGAGAAGAAAGAGGCAAAACTTTCACATTTCAGGGAACAAGCCACAATCCAAAGAAAAATAATGCAAAGTGGTGAGGCTAAGGATATATAGCCGATATTCCTTCGGAACCTGCTTTATTGGATATGTCCAGCAGATTTAACTTGTCTGTAATTTCCTGTGTCTGGAAGTTATGAGATGATAGGGTAGTAGCAAACTGAACAGGTTCCATGACATCCATTGTCACGTCTAAGTCATCGTGGCTGGAATAAGATGCTTGAAAGTGCATGGCGAATGCGCCAGCAATGCAATCAGAGCCGACCAATGTGCAATCTCTGTACTTCATCTGCGTGGGCAAGTTCGAGTTCCTCCTTAAATTACCATTTAAGGTTAATGGGCAGAGCGGAAGACGATCTCTGCAGATTCTGCTCAGACGCAATAGAGACCGCAGAGCATCTGCTCTGCGAATGTCCAGCCGCAAGAGGCTCAAATTCCTCGAGGGGGCAACACTGTCAGCAGAAAAAATGGGCCAACTGACACCCAGGAAAAGAGCTTCCTTCGGCAGAAGTCTACGCTTCCTGGAGACAAATTAAGATGTAGAGTCACGCATAAAATATCTGCAAAGGTAGCAGTGCTGAGCGGCTGAAAAGCCAAACCGGCTCCCCCGCAATCTACAATCTACAAATTAAATTATTGATAAATGACCAAAAATTGTGTTGCCACATTTAAAAATAGAAAATTTGAATGAGTTCAACGATTATACATATCCTTAATTTTTTTATAACGTAGTAAGTAAAGGACGAAAATAGTTGGTTATATACCTACTTTCTTCGCTCAACGTTGGTTGGTGGTATCCATCTTTTAAATCAATGGTGTTGTACACTACTGATCCGTTTAATTGATTGATAATATCATCAAGTTTTGTAGTGACGTTTCTCTGTCTTAAAATCGCCCTGTACAGTATAGGTACTCATTTAATAGTTTTTCAATGTACCGGGTTATTCACTATATTTATCCTCCCACCTGCAGCCTTCATCTTTACAGGTAGATGATAAGTGTAAATACAAAAGTTGTGAACTAAATTTTTAGAATCCATCGTCAGAAACAAAAAATTATTGTCAGAAATATGAAATTTTGCGTACTTTCAACTTTTTTCAAATGGAATGTCCTATATTTGGTTCTATATTCTTGTAGAGCACAATTTTCCGATTCCAGAAATATATAGTTTGTCTATAATATTGGTTTAGCTGTCTCCAATATATTTGGCTCTAAAAATTGTAAAAATACTATTCTACTGACTTAAATTTTGTGAACCATTCTACCTGTGAAGGTGAAAACTGCAGGTAAAATTTGAGGCACTTGAGCCAAATATGTTGGAGACGCCTCACGCCCAAATGCACCAGAAGGACTTAATCCAAATTAGTTGCTGAAACCAGGTTAGGACATCTTTTTTATATGGTTATTTTCAAACTAAGCTGGATTAAACTCCCAAGTCCATACGGTGCATACGGGTGTCAACCAAATATAGACAAACTATATATTTTTGGAATCGGAAAATTGTGCTCTTCAAGAATATAGAATCAAATATAGGGCATTCCATTTGAAAAAGTTGAAAGTACGCAAACTTTCAAATTTCTGACAATAATTTTTTGTTTTCGACGATGGATTCTAAAAGTTTAGCTAAAACTGCACAACTTCTCTATTTACACCTATCATCTACCTGTAAAGAGAAAGGCTGTAGGTGAGGGGGTCAAAATATAGTGAATAACCCTGTACCTACTTAATAATATTTTCAATCAACCAAAACAGGAATTGAAATCCAATAACCCGCATGGAAGCCATTTATCCAAGAGATGCGGAGCATGATATGCAAACAAGACAGAGTAATTGATTGACGCCCCGCGACTTTGACAGGTTGACACACATAGGATATAATGGAGGGAAATTTAAAATAATGAATTCTTAAGTGGAATACAGCCATTAAAAATTTATTATGGGCTAAAAATCAAGTGTATTTAAAAACTAATTAAATAATAAGAGCTAACAGCACAAGCAGGGATCAGATCTCACTTAACCACAAATATGTTTTTTGAAATGCTATTAGATTCGAGATTTACTTTATGTCAGCTAAAATTTACTTCCGCTGAGGTAAAAGTATGATTGGTTGCCAATGTAAAATGACACAAGAAAATCACAGGAGAAAGCCTGTGCTTTTTGCTTAATATACCTACATGTTATAGCTTTGTTTATTATTATTATACACATTTATTCTAATATAAAAGTTGGGATAAGCCAGACTGTACTGTATTTCCTTGTTTTCTCAACCCTCTGATGCTAGGCCATTTAGGCAGTTTTCATTCCGAGGCATTTTTTTTTGACACTGGACTGTATGCTCTTGCGACTCCACTAGAATTACAAGAGCTAGACAGGGCGTCATGTACATATGATATGATTGAGCTTTCCCTTTTGTCTCTTTGTTGAACTTTCTCATTGGTTGGCTCAATCAATTTAGCAAAAATGCTTGTTCGACCATGACTACATTTAAATATATTTTGAAGTGTGTTTTAAAGTTTTCATTTAATCCATCAGTTCATTAACTAAAACAGTATTTGAATATTCCAATAAACTTGTGTGTATTATTATAAAAAAAATAAAACTTTGCATCAGAGGGTTAGAAGAGATAAAAGAGAATAAACTGTTAGCCCTTTTTCAGAAGCAACAAAAAAACTAATTGAACGAAAATATTCCTAATGGCGGACTAAACGCACACATGATAATTAAATCAAAACACTACTTAAAACAGAGGCCTCGTCGCAAATAAATTGATAAATGGTCAATCTCAAAATCATAATATACGCTTAATCCGCCATATCTGGTATCTTTTAACTAACTTAAATGAAACACATAAAAAAAAAAACGATACAAAATCTACTCTACGACTAATAAAACATTTTAGAGAAAAGTTTACAGGTTTATGGTAACAAGAATGTATAATATGGGTTTATACATTATATAGACCGTCAGATACTGACACATTTAGGCGGGAATTTAGGTGCCCCATTTTCGCATAAAAGCCTGGAAGAGGAGTTGAAAAGTACATCAATTTTGAGTAGAATGAAGGGAAATGGGGCTCCTAGGGATAACATCAAAAATTGGATTTAAATTAAATGAACTTGGCTCCAGAAAACCACACACGCGTATTGTAGGTGGCTAAATGGTTGAAATAATGGCCTAATTAATCTTGTAAGGAAAAGTCGAGATTTTGAGCTTGAGTGGGCGAATGAATTACATTATCGAGTAACATAAGAAAAATCGAGTTTTTTATCCCCAGGAGCCACTGGTAAATTTTCCTTCCTTCTACTCAAAGTCGAAGTACTTTCCATGAGGCAGCTAAATCTGTCACTAGCTGACGGTCTACTAGCTAGCTACTGTATATGATGGCGAAGTTGTAGAAATCGTTGGAACAGGAACTTATGTTTGTTGACAATTTTGCCCCAAAATACTTTTTATCAGATATTCCCAAAATTGGGAAAATCTTGGGGAGGGCACTGTCAATGCTTTAAATACAACTGAACTAACTATCCTTTAGAAAACAAATTTTGAAATTAAACAAAATTTATATGATACCGTAACATGTTTTAGCACAAGAGGCCTTCTCAAAACAAGTTAGTGAAATGACCTGAACATCCTCTTTATACAGTTACTGAAATTATCGCGAAAATTGATAACGATAAGTTTCTGACCGTGATAAGTAGCTCAGGTCTATTGACGTTCAAAATAGAAATATTCCATTGCAGACTTCACCATCATATATTATTCGATTATGACATTATTAGCTATTGACTGCCTGGAAACGGCATCATTTTTAATTTTGTTCTTATTTGCTCTTCATAAAAATTACGAATTGGCTCGAAAAGTTAATAATAGTTCATTTTATAAATGAGCAAAGTATCACAGAGCTAACTAAAGCGAGTTTCGAACATATAAAATTCTATATCAACTAACGAATATGGTTACAGAACGGGCACTAGGCTTTAAAGAACTTACAAACTACTTGAAAAAACAAAACTAAAATCGACGATAGAATATTTTTAGACAAAAATTATCAAATAGATGTTTTTTTTTTTAAGGTAAACATAACAATATAACAAACGTCAATTTTCCATTTTTTTTTAAATGAATATATAAATTGAAAATGTTAAATGATTTAAAATTTCAACTACATATTGATTTATTCAGTCCATAAATCTAAATTAAGACACTTTATCCAATCCACAAAGATAAATCAGGCACCTCATAAATTAATCTATTTGGGAGTTTGTGAGAAAATACATTTTTAACCACCATAAATGAAATTGGTACATATTCAGTACTATACATGAATACAAATCTTTTCTCTTAGATATAAAATGTAAACATTCAAGGGTTTATGGTTTTATAACAATTCACAGGCAAGTAGAGAAATGTTAATAAAAAATTAAACACACCCACATATTTATGGAGTGGATGTTTTTGGTTCTCATAATAATTTATAGTTTTTGAATAAAATCTTGACTAAATAACTTTTCTATCAACAAAAATCGACAGCAAGTTCAATAGAGGTGACTGCAAGAATTACAGCCAATAAGATATATGTAAGTCAAGAGTCAAGACTTGAAATCAAACTTTATTAAAAAATCAATTCAACTTCTTGACTGTCAATGTTGTTCTGTTATCTTAAGTGCTGAAATTCTTTTGGTTTCCTATATGAATGTTACATTAGATTTTAAAACCTACCTAACATGGGAAATGGAACCTATAATATATATTGTGAGTACAAAACTAACTTATGTACAGCTGAAATATCAACAAAGAAATAATAAGTCGGTTTTTGGTTCTTGAATAACTATTTGCTTGGTGGATAACACATAATTACTACAAATAATTTGATTAAATGGCAGTATTTGGGCACCAGGTACTCAAACATTTTTCTGCATTTTTTTTTTCAGCCTTTTTAATATACATTGTTCTAAGAGTAGCTCCCCTATATTAGGTCACCTTTCCCTTTAAATCTGATGCGAGTAAATTTGTGAAATGGAACAAAAATAAAATAAAAATGATATAAAAAACCTATGCTCATTAATCCCATTAAATGTTTTAAATAATATTTTTCAATACCAAGCGCAAACTATGTAGTTTGTGTCTTATGCTAACCCAAAACCCGTTATGATGTATAATATTAAATATTTCCATCACAGTAACTCTTAACTGCCAACGAAATAAACACTTATTTTTCTTACCACTTATTAAACACTAGGGAATAATAACAAAAATATATCTTACATAAACAAAAAAAATAAACAAAATGTTCAAACTCCTATTCAACTTGAAAAAATTCATAGATTTTTTTTTTAACACATTCTAGACACTTGTATAGGTTCTTGCATTTTAGGCCAATTTTTTTTCTAGGAAAAAAAAACTATACATTTAAGCTGTAATCAAGCCAAATGCAAATTCCTCAAGTACAAAGTTCAGTGAAGAACAAACACACTGAAAAAAAATATCATTCTAATTGCAAAACGAAAATCAAAATAATAAAACTTGCATATCCACCAAGCAAAATGTTACATTGCCTAATAAAATCAGAAGATAAATACACATTGCTTAGGATTCTTTACAAATTAGCATCATGTTCTTCAGAACTGGAAGTAGTGAAAGTGGATTCTTAAAAAATTTGGAAATTGAACTGGAAAGACATGAAACACTACCCGATAAGCCTAATCGAAAAATACTTCATAATCTGACCAATCAGACTCATCTGAATCAGTGAAAAAGGAGACTAGATCTTCAAGATCGGCCTCGAATGCAACCCACGGGTAATCCCGCTCGTCGATGAAGTCCCATAGCATGACCTGCAAAAATGTACTATTATTTATGTATTTCTATTACTCAGCAGTATCACTTACTAAATTTTATTCAACAAAAATTAAAGAAATAGAAAAAATTATCTGCACTGGACATTTATAAGGTTTTTGCAGAATTATCAATGTTGACCTTATTCACAAGTGATTTGGCCCCCTGCGTAAGTAACAATGACACATTTTGGTAAGAGATTCTTTCTAAGACAAAAATGAGGAGGTTTTTTTTTCAATTTTTAGTAGATACCTACTCAAACATAGTTAGGCATACTAAAAAAGTATAAAAAGTACTCGTTTATGTCACATTTTTTTAAAACTTGGTATGTGTAGGTATCTAGCTAAAATGTCATTTGAAACCTTCCTTTATAAATGATGTTCATATTTTCAGATGTAATTAATTTCATTTCTTTCTATTTTTTTCAATTTTTTATGTGTCAATGTTAGTAAGCAATTCTCGGAGATCAGAAGGACACAAACCAAAACAATTAAAAAAAAACTTGCTTGCAGGACCTCCATATTAGCATCCTGGTTCCTACGTCTCCTCTGGCGTGCAGGTGGTCCCACGTCGACTACTTGCCCATCTACGGTAGCGTGCAGGTAGAAGCATTTGTTACCAAATGGGCATTTTCCTTGGCCTTTTTTGAAGTACTTGCAGTCTTTTTTTGAAAGCGCGCCTTTGTAGTTTTCAATGAGCCTGCTTTTTTCTTCTTTTGTGTCACACCAATACATGCTTGGGCAGACAAAATCTGAAGTTACCCTGCATTCTGGGCACGCTCTTTAACAAATTGAAATACAATGTTATTGAAAAAGTTCAAATATAGATACTAGTATTCAAACATGCTCAGGTCGATTTAAATATTTAAAAAAAAAAGGCATATAAGCCTAATTAACTAACAAAGTACAGACAATTTAGATAGGGCCTATAGCCTACTAAATAGCTGTGTGATAAAACAGATATGGAAGAAAATTTCTGTCATCTGGAAAAGATGGACTACTGACTGTGTGAATCACTGAACAATAGTGATTTGGTTCAAATCATCGCAGTGAACCAAAAGATTATTGTACAAATTACTTTAAAATGTATCATCAAAACTAACCCCCTTGCTCCCAAAAGGGGATCAGAAATTTTCATCGTTTCAGAACCTTCTCCAAACAAGACATTTCAATACAGCAACAGGAGTGCCCAAAATGTATAAATTCAAATTTAAAATTAAATAACCATAACAAAAGAACTTCCTAAAAATTAAATAATTATTTCTAAGGCAATCAAAATCAACAAGTACCATTTAAATTTTGATAAAAACCCAAAACTCTTTTTGGCAAATATTTAGCTTCAATCACAATTTGACTACTTTGTCCAGCCTTGCTCTTTACACACATAAAACTAGAAGGAGCATGTTGTTACACCTGATTCTCATAAAAATCTGCTAATAACGAAGTATTACCTGATGATATTGTTCTCAAACTGATGTGCTTGTCTCCATTTTCTAATGCATGTTAGACAGAAACAGTGGCCGCAATTTGGTAGAATTCCAAAACGTTGTTCTCCAGGTGACTTTTCCATAATAACTTCAAAACAAACACCACAGGTTTTACTTTTGGACCTCTGAATTGCAAAGGACAATTCCATGTTCTTTTCATGCTGTCTAAGACAGTCCTTCTGATGTTTCTTTCTCAACTCTTCACTGAAGGGGTGTAAAGTAAATCTTCCACACATATCACAGCAATCTCCGTGAATCCATTCACAGTTTGGAATATCACAATTATTATCCTTCGATAGATATGGACATAGGCAACCAAGGTTCTCTTCAGTTGGAACCTCGGTTGGACCTAAAACTTCAGCATAGCTTTTTTGTTTAGGCACAAACTCAGGAGCATCTGCCCAATTGCGATTATTAACCATAACTAAGGGTGGTGACGCACAGGCTCCTTCAGTATCTTCACTCTCATCGGTTTTCACTTCCCTGAACATAAAAGATTTTTTGGAATTAGTTGATTTTTGCAAAATAGCAACCTTATATTTTAATAATCGAGATAATAATATAAATAAACACAAGGGGTACATATTTGAATTAATAACTAGATATATTCAAAAAATTTGGGAAGGATTCAAACCAAACAGTTACAAAATATTTGTCCAACATAAAATGTGTCAATTTTTTTTTTAATTTGTCATAATCGTCACAATATGTAATGAAAATTCAAGTTTGAAAAAGTGATTTAATTCTCAACTCAATTGAAAAAAATAATTCCAATACAAAATATTTACCCATTCACAAGCTGATGTTGCCCAGAAGTGGATGGTATATTGTCAATGGCGCTAAACATAAAAAAAAAATTAGTTACCTGTATATTTATTTTTATGTATATGTAGTGAAGGTAATACTTAATTATTATAACAACGATGGAGAGAAGTCAGAAATACATAAACTGTTTGTTCCTGACATTTGGCCAAAAATAGAAACGAGGATCTGGTTTCTGGGACAATGCTTAAATTGATGGCAGTTTACAAACTAGCAAATTTTAAATAAAATATATGAAACAATTAGCAGTAAAATACTTGTCAAAATAGCAATACAGTAAAACTCTCTTATAACATACACACTAATTACCAACCTATTTTTTTTATCAAATGAAAAGTCTCAGTTACTTAGGCCAATTATGAAACATTCAATAGAAAAATATATATTTTTAAATAATTGTACTTTTGATAATAGCTTTGTTTTGGTTCGAAAAAAGGATGGTTCTAGAACGGTCCAAAACAGTCGCACAATTTATTATTGGAATTTTTGATAGCCGAGCCGTTGTCATTTTGTTGATTGATAAACTGTGCGATTGTTTTGAACCGTTCTAGAACCGTCCTTTTTTCGAACCAAAACAAAGCTATTGAAGTGGAAAATGTTTTGTTATTCTGTTGCTTTAGTAACCGGGTGGCGAAAATGCAGCGCATAGGTACTACCTTTACTACTTGTTACTTTTTCAGATATTTTTTTGTATAAAGGCAACTTAGAAGTTACAGTTACAGGTATTAAGTATCCGCAACTTTTTTGCCAATGTGAATGAGGATTTTTTAGCGAGTAACCGTTTGTAACCGTGTTATCACGAGCTATAACCGTGCGGTTATTACCCTCACCACTGGTGTTCTGTCAAAATTACCCCCACCTAACAAAGTTTGTTATTAACCTTTTTTTCGAACCGGTTATAGAAAGCGATTATACAAAAATGGCGCTTGGTTGGCACACAATAAACAAAAAACATATGGCGGGATTATCAATACAGATCAATACACATAAATTGAAATTGAAAACTGTTAAAAATGTACTCTTTGTGTAGTTAGAGATTGAAGTTTATAAACATTTTATTCTCTTGACGAGTATTTTGATGACAACCTTTAACAGGATCTTGTGTCTGTATCGTGATGTAAGTGTCTAAAACTCAACTTTATGTTTTATGTTTTGTACTACTTGTAGGACAGGGTCTACCTGATTTAGTAATAGATTCACAATGCCATAATAACTGATGTGTTCTAAATTTTAAAAATGTTACAAATTTACTAATAAGTACTGAATTTTTCTTTTATTGTTAGTCATTTTACCACTTGCTAGTGCCACTGCTGTAGTGTCTTTTTTACTTGTTATCTGTTCTTATATTTTATATTATTAAGGATGTTGCTTTGTCAATAGAATGTACTATAATTTTCTGACAATAAAGCATATTTGAATTTGAATTTGAAAAGTTTACCGGTAATTTTCATTTCTTCTTTCTCAGCGGTAATTTACTGGTAATTTTGGTAAATTTGGAAAAATGTGCGGAAATATGTTATAAAACAAACAATTAAGTCCATATACGTACTACATATACGTTCAAGGATTAGGTATATAGGATGTTTGGTACATCGATAGGAAGTTTTCAATGAGTGATAACTGATAATTGGGGTCATTTGGAAGCTGTTTGACCACATTTACCCTTATGTAAAGTTTCGTCGTTACTAAAACATATTGTTTTTTTTCACCATTTCTCAATTTTTTTTCCGATATTCCTAGTATGCACTTTTTCAAAAAATACGGAGAAAAAACCGAATGATTGATACAAAAAATATGTAACCCAAGTTATGTGTTAAAATACATGGATTCAAAATATCTAAAAATTACAATGTCTCAAAAAACAGTGAAACTTTTCATTGGGGTAAATATGGTCAAACAGCTTCAAAATGACCCCAACTATCACTTATTGAAATATTCTTATCGATGTACTACTTAAACACCCTGTATACTTACAGGATTTTTTACCTAAACAACCATTTATCATAATTGTGTTTGTTGTAAAACTCAACCTCGTAGAAATATTGCAATAAACAAATAATAATACCTAATTCATAGAACGAAAAACAAGTAAAGAAAATCAAACAAAAATAAAACAGAAATAAATTCCCCCAATAAGATGGACAAAAACACTCGTAGAAAAACATTACACCTAACTCTTGTGGAGAATGTCTTTCCACCCTTGACCACATCCCTTGACAGCTTGCCAACTGCCGCCGCTGGCGGAAAAGCACCACTTTCTGCACTTGTTAGGTAAATAACTATTTGTTTATGTCAACCCTGAAAGCGCGTTCTACAGATTCACAACTAGATGGCGAAGAATGCATGAAAAGGATTGTTGCCTGAATGTGATTTCACTCAGGAAGCCTTTCTGAAAATTACCGGTAAAGAAATTTGTCGGGTTAAATTACCAAAATTACCTTACCAAAATTACCGTTACCGAGGTAACGTTACCACACTTCAATCTCTAGTGTAGGTACCTTTAAAGCGCGGCTGCCGCTCGCGGCATGCGATCCTGATGTTTGTTTAGTTTCCGCGAAGCAACCATGGACGTTTCACGTGCACGAACAGCCTGCCGCAAAACGTCATTTTGCCGCGCTATCCAACTCGAATAACGACACAAGCGTCTCAACTTGGTGCGAGCATTTCCTTTGCTGCGCTCCGAAAACCAACAGAAACTGGTTCGCACTGCGGCGTGTTCGAGCACGCGTTGGCTCGCGCGGCAAGTAGTATCAATCGAGCGCGGCTGTCGCGCGAGCCAGTGTTCGACAGTTTGCCGCGGGTAATCGATACGCAACTTAAGGTAAACAAACCCAAACACCCATATTTGAAAATTTGAATAAAATGCAACTGTTAAATGTTCTATAACTGCCAGTAACCCAGGTCCTGCATAGGTTACTAAATTTAATACCTTGTCATAAATGCGTGACGTCATTGATTTTCTCTATTGAAGTCATAATAACTTCCCCTATTACCGCTGCCTCGATAAAATTTCAACGGTTAGAGATTTTCAGTTACTGTTTATAACACGGTTACAAACGGTTAGTCGCTAAAAAATCCCTTATGTAATGTACTTAATTTTTGTTCACAAACTGCTGACCTTCTGATTTTCAAGTTTTCCTCCGGTACCTACATTATGACCAAGCTTTACTGTATATAGGTAACCTAGTGACAAGTGATGTTAGAAAAAGAAATTTTACTGCGTCTTCCATAGCCAACTTGTGTAAAAATTAATATTTTTTTATTTCTATACTGGCTTACCCATCAGGTTGTTTATCCTCCAAGTTTTCTAGATCATGTGAAAATTTGCAATTATTCATGTATACGCATTTGCCAAATTTATGGAAGTAACATGGCCTTTTTTTGGTGTTTTCAGGCACATTTACCAATCCCAAAAAAAAATCTTCATCATCTGTCCAGGCCTTACACTCGACTTCATTCCTCAGCTTGTGAAGATAACCGCAGTTAAGGCCTTTAGGACAAATTTTATTTTTGTAGTAGCTGAAAAAAAATAAAATATTTAATTTCAAGAATGACGCACACAATTTTAGAACTGGATTACGAGTATTACATGTCAAACATTTCCCCAGCAAGACCATATTCTTGATATTTCTGTGCCACAAAATCCTAATGCAGTAGAATAGGTCAGGTTTTTTTTAACAAAATATATTTCAGCAATATGCTTACAAAACTAATTGTAAATATGTATTATAAAGTCTTTACACAGTGCTTCAAGCATTGGCATCTTGTTAACTTTAACAACACTGAACCGAGCACTGAACAAATGATATTATTTTCTAGATGAATTCTTATCATCTTTGCAAATTTTGGTATGATTTTTTATTGCATTTGGTAAATTCTTAAAATTATTGGAGGCTTGTGGAATGGTATTATTTAAACCTTTTAGTATTTACATTGCATTGATAAATATTGTTACAAGATTTATTAATAAGTACTCAATTAAGTATAATTATGTGCGTTATTTGTAAGCATAATTTAATTTGTGTATTAAATTTTTGTCAAGATTTTTGTGTTTCATACAGAATTTTATAGATATATTTACACTGCTCCAGATATAAAAGTTGAGCTAGCTGGTACACATCAAGATCCCCTTTACAGGGTGTTTCAGAAATGATGATACTTTAAGAGCGGATATTGTTTATACGAAGTCAATCCGAACAGCTAAATGAAAGAGTCTCGTACCAGGACTGCCTAATTTACCAATATATCCCCATGAAAATGACCAAATTTTGTGATGACTGGACCCAGTATGATTATTTTGTTTCCCAAATCCAACTACACATTCCTAGACGGCCTGTTCCAGTCGGCCAAATTTTTTATGCCGTTCAGATTGACTTTGTATAAACTATAATACCATTTTTTCTGAAACACCCTATATAAGTCCTGTGTACGTACGAGCCAGTCAATGAGTCAATATCAAAAAAAATTTTTAGTATTTCATTCTGTGTTCTTCTAAAATTGACACTGCCTCAAACACCCCCCACCTAGATGAGGTATCTCAAGTGTTACATAGCTTCGGCACTAATAGAGTGAACCAATCATCAAGGTTGTTTTTTGTGTTTCTTGTTCAATGTGTCCAAACCAGCTCAAGTTTTTATCCGAGTTTTTATCTAAACTGCTGTACAATTGATTTCGAGCAAGGACATTTTTTTGCCCAGCTTTGAAGCTCAATATTTTTGGAACCAGACCAAATATCGATCTCTGCGGTTCACGGGCTAACAGATTGACTTTTTGTGAAACAAAAAATGCTAAATGGAAACCAAAGGTCGATATTTTGGTTCCAAAAATATCAAAATATCGAGCTTGAAAGTCAGGCGAAATTTTCCTTTTGCTCAAAAGCAATTGTCCAGCAGTTTATATTAAGTAATCCCAGGTACTTAATACTATCTTGGTAGGTATAATAAAGTTCTTGTTTGTTTGATTTGAGAGACACAAACTTGGTTTTTTCTGCATCAATTTTAGGATCAATGTGTAACAACCAACAGGCCTGTGAACTACCTGTAGAACTTATTCAGCAATGCAAATAGGTGTTATCTGAAATTTTAGTAAAGTTGTATGTCTATGACACCTGGAACTTTCCCTTCACAATGAAAGGTTTCTCATGAAACTCCTCCAAGATAAGCACTTTTGCAAAGTTATTTGAATCAATAGTAATAATAAGATAGCAACTCTAGTATACAGCATCATATTATCATCTCAGCATGTTTTTGTTAGGGGTTGTTCAACTGTTACAGACCTTCTGGTGCACACTGAATCACTTGCAAGGGCATTGGAGGACAGATGTCAGGTTGACTCAGTCTGCATTGATTTTTTCAAGGCTTTCAACAGGGTGTACAAATTGGAATGTATAAATAACTTTTCATGGTGAAATTATGTCTTGGTTTAGAACAAGGTTTAGAAGTTATCTATCAAACCACTATCAGTACAGTACAATAATAATATAAATTTAATGGTGGGGACAAATACGAGTTTGAACTAGTCTACAATTCGATGGTGCCGATGCACTGGGTACAAGTGCCTTAGTTATACGAGTATGTTTGTTTACTGAGTAATACTAAGTGCATTGTAGTACAGTTGCTATTCCTAATTTGAGCAAAATGGATGAAAATAAGAGGCCCCTGTCAGATAAATACTTACTTTTTGCAAAATTTATCAATAAATAAGTAAAAAAAAAAAATATATCCAACTTCTTTTCGACTGCCCTATGCAACCGTCTTTTGAAAAAGGTTCTTATGACGAGTGCCATATACAGTGTCATTACTTAAGTGTGCAACATATGGGATTTTTTTTTAGTAATAGCACAATCAAAATACAAACAAGGCCAAAAGTTGGTGCATGTCTGATAATCATATTAGGTGCTCTTAGAATGGTTGCAAGTCAAACAGCATACAGGGTGGCTCAAAAAATATCAAAATTCTACTAATATTTACTTTAATAAAATAAAACTTTTGCACTTTAAGGAGAGTTTTGTTAATATGGCTATTATCATTAGTAATGTTTCAACTTGTTAAAAAAAAAATTTCGACATTTTAAAGTTGTGTTAAATATCATTGCAACAAACATGAATTTTGTGATTCCATAAAAAATTAAAAAACTAAGTTAATTTTACAAATATGCTTGAATTTGAACAAAGCTATGTAAAATTGATTTGATTTTAATTAATTTTTGAAAGTCTTAAGGGCGGAAATAAAAAAAATATAGAAATTATAGATTTTTTTCGAAAGAAAATAAAAAAAATCTTAGGAGGCCATGATTTGGTATTTAGGCATAACTTTTAATTCCAAACAACTTTTCTCTATAACATTTTGCTGAATTTTCTAAAATAAGGGTACTTTACAGTACCAACTTTGATATTGTTTGAGCTACCCTGTATGCTGTTGGACTTGCAACCATTCTAAGTGCACCTAATATGATTATCAGACATGCACCAACTTTTGGCCTTGTTTGTATTTGCGTTGTGCTATTACTAGAAAAAATCCCCATATGTTGCACACTTAAAAAATCACACTGTATATACAATTTTCTGCAATTTTCCATACAGGCGTTACTATGTGAAAAACACGGCCCATATAGAAAGGGTTAATATAGAGGGAAAAACCTGCCCTTAGGATTGATCTTTGGGGTACCTACTCCCCTAAAATTTGATACTGTTGCCTCCCTATTACATATGATATATGAATAGAATATCAAAACTAAAAACAACATCAAATGCCTTAGTAAGGTCAACAAACACAGCAACAACGATAATTCCAATCTCCAAAGAAGTTGCTATTCCATCTCCTAATTGTAATTACTCACTAAATTGGGATTAGTGATAGGCCTGTTCGGGTTTGGAAATAGGACGGTTCCATAACTGTTTGGAACAATTGCACAGTTTATTATTGAAATTTGCGATTGATAAACTGTGCGATTGTTTCAAACCGTTTGGAACCGTCCTTCTTCCAAACCCGAACAGGACCGATATAAACAAATAATAAAATTAATTAATAGATAAAAGGGTTACTTACGGACTGCAAAATTTTTTCAAAGGTTCAGCGCCTGAACCTGAAAATGGCGGATTCGAATCCGTCATTTTCGCCAAAAAAAAATAAACTGGGCAAAACTGGGATACCGAAAAGGTGCCTTTCTAATTTATTTACGCCCAGAAAATTCGTGATCAATAAAAAAACGAATTATCAAAACCCTTGCAATCGCAATATACACAAGAAACTGTAATTATTTACAACTCACGGAATGGAGATGCACCCACCAATGCAAAAGCTTTGCAACAAGACAAGGACTAAGAAACAAGGACAAGAAACCGACGATTTGACAGACGACAATCATTGCTCGACATTAGTTGTATTCCTTTCAAGAGCTTGAAACACTCGAGCTACTCGCTCCGGTGTTTAGTCGCCCCCGATTTGCAGGGAACAAATGCGTGGTGCAACAAACACTTTTCGAAAGGAATAAGCGCGTGAAGCCCCGGAGCTGTTCCGGAGCTCCTCCTAGGTGTGAAAGGAATACAGCTATTATCTATTCACCACTTCCATTTCCGTTCTATAATCTTTTTGTATTTTATTATTTATGTGTTGTTATTTGTGCCAAAAGTGACAGACCCCACTTAGCCAATCAAAATTCGTATAACCATTTCTAGACTCAGTTGAAAGCACCTCCAAAAGTTACTTTACCGCGGCCGATTTTGAACGTGTAAAGCCAACCATTTTTCGCACGCTGGAGCCGAACTTGAACGCAATATGCCAATTTTGGTTTGACTTTAGCCGTTTTTGAACGCAGCCCTGGTGTAGGCACCATGGTGGAATGGTAGAAAGAGCAGTGTTGTTAAATTGAACAGGGTTCGGCAAGCTGTGTTTGGCATTGGCACATTGGCAGTTAATCACAATCACCACATCCATGGCGGTGCTACCTTTTGGTGAATTTAGCCACACGCGGAATTATGCTATCGATTGTGGTCCTATTGTTGATTATTTTCGATAGCTCGATTTTCTCGGTTTTAAATTCGGAATCAGAGCGCTCGAAATTTTAATAGACGTACGCGAATGAACCTACACCGAGCACACTTTTTAAATGAACGAACGGTAAATTCAAGCTCAAAGAACTCAGAATATCAAACCTTAGGTTCCAATATCCAATCCGTGAGTAGATTGGGGTGGGAGCGACTGAGCGGCTGAAGTCAGCTTTGCACCCCCACGGAGCGAAAGGGTATGAGCATGGATATCGTGACGTCATACACGCAGAGTGCGCCCTGAACAAGGTCATAAGCTGAACGCAGATCGAAAAAAAAAAATCCTGATACCCTTGTAACAGTTGTCACGACACTAATTTAAAAAAAAAAGGGTTTTGTTGAAACGCATACTGCAGCCGGATTCTATTTTACGAGTCCAGTTGAATTGTCTGTTATGACACTCAATATCGAATACGACATAACAACCAAATTCTCTGGTTCTCCATCCAGGGAAAGGAGAGCGAGCTCAGAGTAAGTGCTCGATGTAACCTGAACCCAAAAGAGAACACTGTGAGAGCTAAAGCAAACGATCTTATCGTGTCGAGCGCTCTCGGAGTTTACCGAGCGTAAGAGCCGTTTAAAGCCTAGTACTCATAACTGCGAAATTCGCACTTTTTTGACATTGCGTCGACAATTTGACGTTTTATGCGTGTAGCAATGTCAAAAAAGAGCGAATTTCGAGTACTAGACTTTATTTGAGCGGGATGTTGCGGTTTGTTAAACCGGAGCCACGTGAAAAGGGCTCAAGAATAATACCCACTACATTAGTCCTTTTCACGTGACTCCGGTTTAAGAATGATTCACGGTAAACCGTTATGGGCCCGAGCCGGGCACGTTTCACGGAGTGGACACATCCGAGCGTTCTGTATATGTTACACCGCGTTGTGAACGAGGATCGCGTCCGTGCCGAAAATAATACAACAGGAACAGGGTCCCTCCCAGTTGAGTATTCAACATACAGCACTGCAAGGGCGGTTTATAGGGGGGGTAGAGGTGGTAATTACCCCCCCCCCCCAGACAAAGATTTTTTTATACATTTATTAATTATAACAAAATTTCAACAAAAGACAAGTTCTACAAAGTAATGAAATAAAGGACCATGAAGTGAATGTAAGTAAAGTCCGTCGTTTTTAAACTGACACTTTCTGGATGAGGAGCGAGGGGGTATTTCATATGGCAAAAACAGGTGTGACGTCAGGTAACCATTGGCGTTCTAATGCAGGGGGCCAGCTCAAATTCCGTTGTTGACGGAAAACGGTTGACTTTTGGTATAGATGATTCCTAACAAAAAGTATTTAGGATTTTTAGAACGATAGAATGTACTAAAATATAGGGTGTATCATTTAAAAATAACAAAGTTCTGTCGCATACCCCATTTACAGAGCCCTTTATTTAAAAATATTTTTAAGTAAGTAATGCACCTTAGAGAATCAAACAACTTTGAATTTTTATTTATTTTTCCTTGCATCACCCTGTAAGAAGATATTGTCCGATATCGCACTAAAGGCCCGTATTATAAAACACTGAACCGATGGTTGAGTTTCAACCTTCGGTTGACTCCATGCAAATTGATAGGATTCAACCAAAGGTTGAAACTCAACCATCACGATACATTTTTGCCTGAAGCGTGTTTTTTAAACGACTTTCGGGTACAAATTTGGGCGTGGCACCCCAAAAAAAATTTCGCCTCCGGTGGTACGTTGCGACACTTGATGATTCTCCCGTCATCCATATTACCCCTCCCAGAAACTAATGTATGGACCGCCACTGCAGCACTGCTCGTGCACGGAAGAGTGTTCATGCTTGTCGCAACGTACCGGGAACGTGGCGAATCCGTAGAAAAAATGTACCAGAGCATATCTGTGACGGGGCACGGACGAGCCCGATGGAGGCTCGGATCGTGCGCGGTCTAGTATGAATGCATATGTGCAAAGTTACCTGACAATGTTTGCCCGTGGCTTCACCGACGCAGGCTCGGGCCCGTCACGGTGTACCATGAATCATCCTTTAAACTAACCGGGTTACAAAACGGTTAGTAGCAGTATGTCAAGTGATGATGTCATTGAAAATGCCACTTGAAAACGAACGGTTGGAAAAGTGTTACCTATTTTAAATTAGGCAATCCAACGGCCAGTCAATATTTTTAATAGGTTGATGTTCCGTCTAGTAACTGCACCAAAATATCAGGTATACTTGAAAAAAAAAAAGTTCCTATTATTTATTTTAATTTTAATTGCTTCCATGTTCGTCAATTGATTAGAGGTAGAAACTTTAAAATAATATCAACAAAACACAATTTTATATTTAAGTTTACAGCTGTGACAATTTTGCCGCTTTACGTTGTTTACAAATTTTCTATTTTTTATTTTTTTGTTCTAACCGTTAAAGGTAACCATAGGTCTGTTTCTGCAGAAATCACAAACCAGTCAGAGTGAATTTCATTGGTTGAAACTAGTTTTCTGACTGTTTTTAACCAATGAAATTCGCTCTGACTGGTTTGTGATTTCTGCAGAAACAGACCTCATACCGCCGAGGTGGTTAGAGAAATGACATATCGTTCCCTAACCCGGTTACAAAGTGACGTCGTCGATACCACTCGAATTTGAACGGTATGTTGCGGTTTGTTAAACCGGAGCCAAATGAAAATAGCTTTATGAATAGATTATCGCTTATCGGTCTCGTCTTTACCAATCGCCGCCAAACTATGTCGAATTTAATGAGAAGTATTACTTAATTTTGATTCACATAATAGGCAAATAGGAAGATGCAAATGAGATCTGCAAAAATAATTGTTTTAGAATGTTAATTAATGTAGTAAAACCAAGTATTTATAAAGCAAAAGCCCGCGGAATCATAAGCTCTAGTGCAAACAGCCCACGTCAAGGCGAGAAAGGACATGCTGCCTGCGTCACAACTGGTGATTTGCCGTGGTGGGGGGCAGATTTGTTCCACACAGGCCTTATGAGGATAGGCTATCCTGTAGTAGTAGTCTTTATTATCCTTGCTTGTAATAGAGGTACTTTCTCTTCAAGAGTTTAAAACACTAGCGCTACTCGCTCCGGTGTTGGTCGACCCCGATTTGAAAGGAACAAATGCGCTGGCTTTCATGCATTCAAATGGTTTGAGCCGGGCTTGAGCACTCAGGTGCAACAAACACTTTTCGAAAAGAATAAGCGCGTATCGCCCCGGACCTGTTCCGAAGCTCCTCCTAGGTGTGAAAGGAATACAACTAAACTGATCGAAGTCCCTTGAGGTTTGTTTCAAACAATGGTAGCGTTCACCAGCACTCAACATGTTGAGTGGTGATTAGAAGCAGCTTTGTTCCATCAAGTGAAATACACAAGGTAGAACAATTTTGATTGGCCTAGAGCTGATTTTCATCTATTTTCAACAAAGCCGCTGACTAATCACCAGGGATGTGCGTCTACACGTAGACTTTCATTGTCTACTTTACGTGTAGATAATGTAGACAATGTAGACAATGTAGACAACGTGTCAACAATGTAAAATAATATAAATGACGTTTAATTCTAACTTCACACTTTCCTTTTTTTTTAATTATTTTTATTTTATTATTGGTTTTTCTGATATTTTATAATCAGTGAATGCTAATATCGAAGTAATAGTGATATAGAGTAACTTTTGATATTTTTTTTCGAATTTTTTAAAATAAGTTATTGTTTACGCCGCATGTAGACAGTGTAGACAAATGCTCACGTAAACAATTCGAATTGTGTATGCGTAGACAATCAATTGTTTACGTTGACATTGTCTACAGGCACATCACTGCTAATCACTCAACAAGTTGAGTGCTGGTGAACGCGACCAATGAGTACGTTCACCAGCACTCAACTATTGTCAATCAATCTGTCAAGACAAAAATTCAAGATGGCGTGGCAGCGAAGCAAGCTTATTTTGGAATGCGTTTTTAATGCGAATTAGTTATTTTGCTTTGAGTTTTGCTTGCAAGCTTGATTTTAATATCAAATAAAATGTCTGTTGACTAGGTACGCGACCTATTAAGGGCGGGTATTATAAAACTGCTTTGACAGTTAACTTGAAGTTAACTTTTTGAATTACATGTAATTCTAGAAGTTAACTTTAAGTTAACTCTCAAAGTAGTTTTATAATACCCGCCCTAAGTCGGGCAGAATATAGATATTTTTTGTATTAAGTGTTAGTGTTGTAAAATGCCGGTCCAGTTCAGTATATTTTCCCCACTTAAATGAACTATTAGGAAACAGACGAATAGCAAGGTTAGCGGCAATCAAATATGGAAAGATTTTTCACAGTCTTAAGGTAGCAGACCAAAGAGTTTGTAGTAAGCACTTTATAACAGGTAAAAAAAAAATGAGTGCTATTTTGCATCATGTCGTTGATCATCATATGGTTTAATAGGAAAACCAAGTAGGTACTTACTTGTGGTTTGGATAATCCTGGCTTGGCACTAATGTTCTTGCAAATATTGGCTCTACGTAACGATAATGTCTTGTTGTATTGCACTTAACAGATTTACCCCTCACAAATACACCTCAAAGCACGTGACGATGTAAAACTTCGAACAAACAGCAGAGAGCACACGACAAAAAAATTAAGATCGCCCTATATGTAGCCGCCACGCCATCTTGAATGTCACGTGGTTTGGATTTCCTTGTCAATTGTCATTTGGTTTTAAAACGATTTCATATTGGCTCTATCTTGAGAATTAAGGTTGCGCGAAATTCGCTTTTTTTTACATTGCTTCGACAATTCACCATATTAGTTAGGTTAGAATCGCAAATTGGCGCGGGTTCCTAGTTCAAAAATTAATACATTGATGTCTTATGGGGACTCAATTTTAAAAGCGTCTGTCGACGTGATAGAACGTTTGTTAGGGAAGTGAGTTGTGTAAATAGTTTTTTTATTATGTTAATTAACTGAGAGAGTGTTTGAAAGTTGAATAAACATTGTTAAAATAAAAATATTACCGATTTAAGAAGCCGATGTTTGTATAAAATACGTATGGCGTTGCTTAATCCATAAGTATGTATGGATACCTATAATTATAATAAAATAAAAGTGTACCTACATACTTGGTTAGTAGATGTACTTCAATAATCCAAAAAAATGGAAAAATAAATGACCGAACTAGTGATTAATAAATTAATAAACAATTCACCAAAAATCATAACACAACATACAACCTCACTTTCTTACAGCTGGTTTTAGACCCGACGTACGTCCACCGAAAACAGTCACTTTTAATTAAAATCATTTGTATTTTTGATTCATAGGTCTAAAAAAACAATTAGAGCATGAATTATAGAGAAATATGTTCAAAGTTTGACGTATAATAGGTTCAAATACTAAGAAATGCCCAGAACCCAAGATATTCCCGTCTGAAAATCACTCTTTTGAATCCGCCATAAGAAATACATTGCTGTCAAATTTGTTGAAATGTGTTTAGGAACCCATTTCAAATTTCCCGCCCGATTTTTCCTAACTTAACTAATATGATGAATTTGACGTTTGATACACGCAAAACGTCAAATTGTCGAACCAATGTCAAAAAAAGAGCGAATTTCGCGCAAGTGAGAATGAGGCATAACTGTTTTTTTGACGCCTCATGAAGAAAACTTATGTGATTTAGGGCGGGTATTATAAAACTGCTTTGACAGTTAACTTAAAGTTAACTTCTGTTATGTAATTCAAAAAGTTAGCTTCAAGTTAACTGTCAAAGCAGTTTTATAATACCCGCCCTTAGTTTGTTCAGATCAAAAGAATGTTTTGTTTGAAACACAACCAAACAAACCCTAAAATAGTCACAATAAACGGCCGTTTCGACAAACCCGATTAGCTGTGTGTTTTTTATATTTCTTTAATAAACACGAACGATTGAAAAAACAACAAGCAATAAATTACATCAGCTGTTGATCGGATTCATTATTGGATTCCGAATTCTGGGTTTTCGAAAAGGCCTAATAAACTATAAATGGCTACCAGAAGCCAAGGTTAAACCAGAACCAGCGACACGCCGTGAAGTTCGCAGCCGCTGTCATCGGTGACAGTAGAGCGGAGAGTAGGGAAAAATTGTCCTCGACGTTCTATTGGTCGAAATGCTGTAGCTAGGGACAGAACGAAGCTCAGAACGAGCCAACAAGGCTTTAATACGGCTCTAAAAGGTGCCTTCTTTCCCGTTGAACTTGAGCCTCATGATGAATCCGTCATTGGATTTCCTGTGGGCTGGGTTCGGTTATTGCATCTGCGAGCGAAATGAGCAAACTTTGACACCTGTCAACATAAGGTGGGAGGTAGAGGTCCCTAAGCAAAGCCAAAGAAAAATAATAAAATTTTATTTAGGGAAGGAAAACACAAATTCAATTCTATGAAACTGCAGAAGAGTACAAAGATGCATCAACAATTATTACAAAATGAAAACTCCACAGTGACTAAACAAACCTTTACATACAGTGGCGACAATAGAATAGAGGGTCCCGCCGCCTTGTCGGGGCATACCTCTGGCTAATTTTAAATATGATTAATCAACGATAGGATCCGAATTTCGAATGGACATCTATCATAAAAAATTGAAAACAATGTATTTGATGACTATTACTAGGTACATCAAATACGTTGTTTTCAATTTGTTATGATGGATGTCCATTTAAATCCTATATATTCATATTTAAAATTAACATGAGGTAGGCTCCAAAATGACGGCGCTTTCCATATGAATATATAGGATTTAAGAACGAATCAAAAATGAGACGGCAATTTGGCCAGCGTCATCTATCCGCCCTGTGCAGGAAAGGCTCTTTGCTTTCAAGAGCTTCCTTTTTTTTTGTATTTATTTTAAATTTGACAAAATTATTTAAATTAGTGTGGGCCCGACACAGTTGATTTGGCTCTGGATTTTCCAATAACTTCACACAGTAAAGTTGTTGGAAACAAAAAGAAAATTAACAAAACTAATAACGGCCCTGCTGGAATAAATTTTGGAAAACAGATGGCGCCACGTATCGTTCTCCTTGAACTTATGCAACAGTTCATGTTTTTGTATTCTCGTTGTAGGCAACTAAACAAACTCCAGATATTTTTTAAAAACTGACAAGAGTTGGCGAAGTTGCACGACAAGTGTCGACTCCTAGTGCGTCAAAAAGGCACTACCTAACATTCTTTGGCTGGATGTGTTCTGTGTTCTGTTCTTGTTCCGTGTTCCCTAGTCAAGTCAAAATCGTAGCTGGCTGCTATCTGCATTGGTGTAATTTGAGTTCATGAATTTTATTAGTGCTCAGACACTCCCAGCAATTGAAAAAAAACTGTTTGTAATTGATATAATTGGTAAACTGGACGCTGTATCGGTGAATAAGTGCACTATGGACATTTCCGCGAACAAAGAATCTGTGGTTAATAGCTTCTTTGCTCTCTGTTTCAAAATGGAGTAGGAAGATTTTTGTTGTTATTCTGAAAGAAGAAAGAACAACGTGTTGTTTTCGATCAAATGCCGTTTGAACCAACAAGCTAATGCAGTGATTTTGCACTTCGGAATAGACGGAAATAAACAATATAACAGGCATGGGAATTAAAATGGTATAGGACAAAAAGACATTCCAGTAAATATTCTTGAACTTATCCTAGCGAATCTAGTAGTTCATTCAAGTGTGCATGCAAGAATCTCCATGCCTGATTCCTCTAGTTTAAGGTAAGAATTTTACTTCTCTTGTATTGGTTCTTAATTTGTTTATTTACTTAAATTTCTTTAGTAAATAGTGGTGCTTATCTTTGTAAATAAAACAGGTGTAGGAATTCCCCTCGGAATTCCCTCAATGATTCAGGTAGTGTTTGTTTATTTTATCTGTTGTAAATTGATATCTATTTATTTACCTTATCATAACAATATATTAAGTAGATTTCTGAGGTAATTTATTTATTCTTTCATTCGAAAATAATATACTATCCAAATACTATTAAAGAATTATCTATAATCTTTATTTACTTTTTTGAAATTGGCACAGAAAAATAGACTTTGGAAGTATCTAGAATCAATATCTGTATCTACTTTAAACAATAATTGTCGGCCTTGTTGTCTGCCTTTTTAAGGACCTAATAATTGATTAATATTATATTCCCATAGCTGGGTAATTTTTGTTGAATGATCTAGGTAGGGTTGCCAGATACTTGAGTTTTGAAAATAAGAGAGCCTGTATAAAATTATATGAGATTGGATCATAATATATGAGAATATTTTATGTAGGTACTACAAAATACCAAAATCCAAAAAAGCTCCCATCTTGATAATTAGCTATGATTTTTAGCAGATGTTAGAATGTATTGCTGGACATTTGTTTAGGTAGTTAAATACTCCTCCTGGTTCGTCAGTCTCATTTCTTGTAACAAGTTGTGGACAGCACCTTGGGTTTTTTGATGTTTAAGGAAATCCCTGACCCAAAATCGTTTTGTTTTTTTTTTCTGTTTTCACTTTTATTTTTATTTATTATGTACCTACAAAAGCGAAAAAAGTAAAATACACTCAACAAAATAGTCTAGGGAACAAGAAATATTTCTCTTTTAATTTTGAGACAGAACAACTTTTCTCAAAAAGATAACGTGGGTATTTGTTGAACAAATCTTATAAAATTTATCATATCGGCTTTTTTAGCAGGCTTTAATAGTTATTTATGTATCAAGGGTACTAAGTAGATGATTATGCCCTGAGGGCGACAGTCTTACAAAGCCGAGGGCCTCTGGCCCGAGGGTTCGTAAGTCGCCCGAGGGTATATTATCTATTAGTACCCGTGGTGCATACAAACTTTTATGTCATACCAGTTGGTTGTGAATAATAAATACCTGGGAAAAAAGTGTCACTTCGCAAATTGTCATCAGTGTGCAAACATCATCATTTTTTGACAAAAACAATATGTTTATAAGCGTAAATTTTTATTTTGGTAATAAAGAATAAGTTAATTGAAAACTGTTTTTTGCGTCTTTATGCCCGCGCGGGCCATAATGTGTACTTTATGACCGCACGGGCATAAAGTAATGAATTATGTAGCTGGTATCTAAGGTGTAAACACACAATAATGTATTGGTATGACATAAAAAAAATTAAAACTCTTTCAAAATTATATTTTCTTCAATTTATAAATGTATTCAGTTGCATCTTGTTCCCTAGACTATTTTGATGTGTGTATCATTTATTTGACGACGTCGGAAAAAGGTTGAAAATATTCGGATAAAAAGTGGCGGGAAATTTTTCAACCAATAGGAGCTGCGTCGTACCATCGGACAGTCGGATGAGACGCATGAGACTCCGTCCTATCACATATCACATGTATGGTAGTAATATACATGGTTTCTTTTTTTTCGATGAAAATATAGGAGAAATAGTCTCATATTAAACATGCTAATATGAGATATGAGAAACAGTTAAAATATATGAGTCTCATATTAAAAATAGGAGATCTGGCAACCCTAGATCTAGGTACCTCTTATTTTTAAACTGTGAATTTTAATCTGTTCAGCTATTTTTATGCCTCTCATTTGGCTATATTTTGCTTAATACTTTCAACATCTTAAACCTATTATAGGTACCTAATATTAATACTGAACTCTCGAAAAGATTATTGAAAATATTGTTTATGAGCAATTAGTTGTCTATATATGAAAAAATAATATTTTATACATAACCCAGTCAGGTTTCAGAAAAGTACATATTTCCTAGCCTGCTTTTCAAAATGTTTTGTGCAAATGGATTAAATGGAATAATGAGCAAGAAAAAAATCTGATAATTGAAGCAGTCTTTTTAGACTTTTAGCATGCTTTTGAGACAACTGATAGGGAAAAGTTTATTTATTTATTTATTTATTTACGGGCATGGCCCAATTTCATAAAGTAATGTAATACATATAACATTTTATACACAGAATAAACACGTTTTAATAATAATTATTTTTGAGGCAAACAAAAAATAGCATAACAGCTCCACTATTTTAATTTTAATTTATATCATTTTGAGGTTTGCGGTATAGAGATTTCAAGCTAAGGCACTCAACTGCTTTATAAACGCCGAGTTACTTGAAAAGTTGTTGAAAAAGTTTAAAAAATACAGAAAACAAATTAATTACATGTGTAATAAAATAACATCTTCAGAAATTTTAATAAACAATGGTGTTCCACAAGGAAGTACCTTATTAGGACCACTACTGTTATAGGTACATTAATAATATTGGTACTACAGTTACAAGCGGTAAGATCCATTTGTTCGCTGATGACACCTTACTGTATTTTTGTTCAGATAATTTAAAAAACCTAATTGACACAGCTGCAAAAAAAAACTACTAATGTAGTGCAATGGAAATCTACTAAAATTAAATGCAGCAAAAACTAAGTTTATGCTTCTTGGGTATAATCAAGGCATCGAGGGAATAATATATTTAAGTTACAGTAAGTATAAAATCGTGATTGGAAATACTGATATTGAAGTTGTTGATAAGATAAAGTATCTTGGAGCTTTAATTGACAGGAAATTAACATTCAAGGAACAGGTGATAAAACCTCTAGAAACATCAACTTTTTTGGTAGAATTGCTCTATTTTTGACCCGGTAGTCAATTAAAGTGGTATATACTGTATTGATTTTGCCTCATCTTACATTTGCGTCTAGCATCTTGTTTATGGCAAATGAAAATGAGAAATTTGTGAAATTATCATTAGGTTTTTTTAATAAGAAGTTTTATTTAATATTATTAAGCATTCATTATGTTTCGACATGTCTTCCATTTTACTGGAGACACAAAGCAAGACAATTTTGGATTGACTTTGCTACCCTTTCTAGTAGGTCGGGTGTAATGCTTCGAAATGCGTTTATGATTATTTGCTGCATGTTTTCTGGTGTGGTTGGAGTTTCCTGATAAGTTAACTATTTTCTTAACGTAACCCCATAAAAACAAATCTACTGATTTGGAAAGATTCTATTGAGATGATCGGCGTTATAGTGGAAGTTATGGCGATTAACACGATCGTTTTTATCAAATCAAATTATGCTTTATTGTCATAAAAAAATAAATCCATTGACAAAGCCAGTAATTCCTAAACCTAAACCTTTAAAATAAAAATAGCATAACATTAAACATTTGTCCAACTTCTCGAAGTCCTTTGAGGTCTGTGTATATGACAATCTCTTCCACCAAGTTAAAAACTCAATTACCACTATCCAGCATGGATTTTATAGCAAACGCTCAACTATCACTAACCTAACTTCTTTCCTAACAAAGGCATATCAGGCTGTAAATGAAAGAAAACAACTTGATGTGATCTACACGGACTTTTCGAAGGCGTTCGATAAGTTGGACCATGGGCTTATTGCTCATAAAATGCTTCAAATTGGGTTTCACAACAACCTTATTAATCTATTTATCTCCTATATCAGTGATAGGTCACAATTTGTCGAATGCAATGGGTTCCAATCCTATGATTATAATGCTACCAGCGGAGCCCCTCAGGGAAGTAATCTCGCGCCTCTGATATTTGCCATATTTGTCAATGATATTGCCCAGAACGTCTCATCACACAGTTTATTATTCGCAGATGACCTCAAACTATTTAGAATAATCAACAACTTAGAGGATTGTAACGAGCTGCAGAAAGATATTGACGCACTTTCAGGTTGGTGTCAAAATAACAAATTATATCTAAACATCAATAAGTGTAAATCAATGACCATCTCAAATATCAATCATGAGTTGAATTTCAATTACCAACTCCAATCTAGTTCTCTTTTGAAAGTTGACTCAATCCGGGATCTGGGGGTGGTGATCGACAAAAAGCTCACATTCAATGACCATATTGATCAAATTGTGCATTCATCATTGAAAACCCTGGGGTTTATTATTAGATCAACAAGAGAGTTTAAGAACATCGACAGTCTCATCACGTTGTACAACTCTTTGGTCAAGTCTAAGTTGCAGTATGCTTCTCTGGTGTGGTTTCCTTACCATCAAGTACATGTGGACAGGCTCGAATATGTTCAGCGGCGATTCCTAAAGTATCTAAGTTTCAAAAAGGATGGAATTTACCCTCCAAGAGGATTTGACCACCAGTTGCTACTCAACAAGTTCAACTTCCTCTCACTTCAACAGAGTACAATTTTAGCAAGTCAACTCTTTCTTTTTAAATTATGTAACAACCTGGTGGACTCTCCAGATCTTCTAAATCTATCGAGCCTGCTCATACTTCAATCACCTGCAGAACAGTATCGATGTAGACTTATTTGTAGGTTCAGTAAACTCTTTTAAAAAAAATATCTTGCCAGTGGTTCACAATCTGTGATAATGTATTTGCTGTGATAATTGTCCTGGCGGAAGTATGGGAGGGTGACTATTTCTATCTCTATTTTTATTTCCTATTTTAACTGAGTAAACAATGCTAGTTTTTCTCATTATTTTTATTTTTGTTTTTATTTTTATTTTTATTTTTATTTTTATTTATACTTATTTTTATCTATATTTTTATTTTTATTTTTATTTTTATTTTTATTTTTATTGTTGTTTTTATTTTTGTTTTAGGCTTCTTATTGGTTTTCTGGATCTTATGTGTGATATAATCTTAGCTTTTAAATTTTCATATTTTTGTTCGCTCTTAAGTGCACTAATTGTCTCATTATTGGGAGTATGTATTCCTGTTAGACAATAAAGAATTGAATTGA